TTGAGCAAACCAGCTGACTTGTGATTTTGAGAGAGCTACATCATCCCTAGAACCAAGGAGTGGTTGATAAGTACAAGTGACCAAAGGTAAAAGGGTAAAGTACCCAGAACCTAAGGTTACAGTAATCTGACCGTAGTTGCTGTAAATAATGGTTAGTTGTGCGATATATTAATCAATATTGAATGAAATTGAATATTTTATATATTATATTACAGACATAAGTCCATATATACAATGAACACCTTTTTAAAACCTGGTAGTATAATAATGGAATTAAATTGCATACTTCAGTTTGGATTTGTTGACTGGTATTTCCTGAGATTGTGCTTGAGGTGATCAGCTGATAATGTTTTTTGAGATTGCGAAAAACATTGTGTCAGTGTAAAACTTGAGTTTATTAAATATGTAAATAAATTTGGGGAGCCATGCGTTACCACTTACTATAACCCGAGTTAGCGCTATATTGAAGGGCGCAATAGTGAGGGAGCACTGTAATTAGAATAGCAACTATGTAGAAAGTACACAAATACTTAAAACATGATTTCAACAGCTTGATTATAGAAACAAGATAACATGTTTTAAATTTAAAATTAAATTCATTACAAAATCCAACATCAATTAGTATTTTGTTAAAATTACCCCCTTCGAAAGACATGACATATGAATGCTGTTTTTGAAATTCTACGAAGATCTAGGGTAAATATGTAAGTAGGAAACTGGAGAGAAGCAGGGTGATTGTACTGGAAAGAACCATCGGCCTGTGAGCCCGAAGACTGAATGCTTCTGTTTCTCTTTAGGATAGAAATATTTATTCATGTGTCAGAAGAAAAGTAGCAAGATTGGGTCAAAGTGCCAGAGAGCAAATAGAAGATGTTTTTTGACGTGACCAAATATTGTAGAAATGTACTGCTTGACTGTAATGGTCTGTTTGGAGTTTCCTGGTGCTTACTAATCTGATATAGTTAAACAAGGGTATTTCGATATACATGTATATATTTTGATATATAAACATTCAAACATTTTATGAAATTTCAGATTGAATTTTGTTCTCAGAAATGTATAACAAAGGATAACAGTAAATTGGTGAAGCAAGGACCTCTGAATATAGATCATGAATAATTTTATTCCAAGCTGTTACAGGTCTAATAAAAATACTCAAGTTATTGCAAATTATCACCAGGGAGTATAGAGGGAATAGTCGGCCATTAACTGGAAGCTACAAATGATACTTTTTAATAACATTTTGGGCACCAAAATGTCTAGAACTTTCCTGATACACTTTGTGTGCAAGAGAGACCAGATGGCTGATGGGAGCGGGTAGTCAGGTGAAGCACGGTGATATTGTTTGAATCTCAACCAAAACTTGACAAAATGGAAATGAGTTAGTTTTGAAAGAAAGAATCAAGGAGACTAAAGTAGTGACTCATTTGTTACTGAAACAAAGAGATATGACTCTTTTCGGTTTGGGCATTGGTTAAAATAGAGAAAGACAGAGAACAAAGAATTAGGATGATAGTATTTTGTTAGTTGTCAGAGAGTGGAGTGGGTGTTCGATTCTCCCCGCAGACCTGAGAGGTTCTCTCTAAAGAGTCCTCTCTACTGTTGGATTCAAAGCGATACGTTCAGATTCAAATTGGAACATTGCTGTGCTTTTCATTATATCATCTGGATTTGTGTTGTATTGTGTGAAGATATTGTCAATGGGCATGTTGACGGGGAATTAGCTCTTAGGGGAATAAAGAACAAAATCAACATCACTGTCCCGGAACGCTTTATGCACAACATGTAAACAATAAACAACAATTGCACAATGAGCGGAATACCTGCTCTGACCAAACAAACACAGCGATGAGCAGACCTTCCAGCTCAGGCATACATGAGGTGAGCGGAGCTCCAGCTCAACCTCTGGACGTTTCCTACGAGGCACATCCTGCTCGAGGTCGTCCTTACACCCATGCTCGGAATACCAAGCTTGACTAACACCATGTAATGGTAACACATATATAGTTATGAACAACAATGGACAGACAAAGAGAAAATGACGTTGCTTTGGACATTGGACATATGGGCGTGATGAACCGACGCAGTTCAGGGGATGATCAATTAAGGCAATAAATGCCATACTATAACAAGAGTCATCAGAAAGATGACATATCCCCCCGGCAGCTGTCTGTAAAGTAACCACTAGTAAATGTGCAATTCTGTATGTAATGAGTCAACAGTTGAATGTTCTTTTAGAAGCATACACTGTTTACCCACTGAATGGTTTTCGAATTCTGGCCCGGAAACGAACCCGTTCCCCAATGGAGTCTAGGTCAAACTTCTTTCCATAAAAATTGTAAAAAATGAAAATTCGTAAAAACAAATAAATAACAAAAGGTATCACTCCAGTATGTGCCTGATAGCTTTGCCAAGTTTTGATCAAATACACTGAATGGTTTTCGAATTCTGCCCCGGAAACGAACCCCATCCCCAATTGAGTCTATGTCCAACTTCATTCCATAAAAATTTAAAAAAATAAAAATTAGAAAAATCCCAAAATATCAAAAGGCACCACTTCAGTATGTGCCTGATAGATTTGCCAAGTTTCGATCAAATACACTGAATGGTTTTCGAATTCTGCCCCGGAAACGAACCCCATCCCCAATTGAGTCTATGTCCAACTTCATTCCATAAAAATTTAAAAAAAATAAAAATTAGAAAAATCCCAAAATATCAAAAGGCACCTCTTCAGTATGTGCCTGATAGCTTTGCCAAGTTTCGATCAAATACACTGAATGGTTTTCAAATTCTGCCCCGGAAACGTACCCCATCCCCAATTGAGTCTATGTCCAACTTCATTCCATAAAAATTTAAAAAAATAAAAATTAGAAAAATCCCAAAATATCAAAAGGCACCACTTCAGTATGTGCCTGATAGATTTGCCAAGTTTCGATCAAATACACTGAATGGTTTTCGAATTCTGCCCCGGAAAAGGAAATGATTACGGACGGACAGACGGACAGACGGACAGATGGTCAGACGGACAGATGGACAGACAGACAGACTGGCTGATCGCTATATCCCCCAGCATTATATGCCGGGGGGATAAAAAGCAGTAGTTAAAGGGAAGTGACATGGTAGTCCAGGCTGACTGACAGTCAAAATACAATGAAATGTTGGTGAGGATTAACAACGGGGATTAGTGTCTTATAAATAATGGCAATTAAGTTATGGAGACATAAACATGTCATGGCATATATTGCCTGGGCAAGTGGGGCTAGATGTTAGCCTTCCCACAATATTCAAGAATTCTGTCTCCAATAAATGGGCTTTGAGCAACAAATCTGACTTGTGCTTTGAGTGAGCTACATCATCCCCAGAGCCAAGGAGTGGTAAGGATAAGTTGGCGAGGTAGAAGGGTATCACATACCCAACACCTACAGTAACACTACTTACACATTGCTGGAGAAACTCCTTGGAATTCCCTTGCAAGAATAAATACAGAAGCATTGTTTCTGATCATTTAGACACTTTAATTTTCAAATCAGCACTTTTGCTTACATTGAAAAAAAAGATACATTATAAAAAGTGCATGCCTGTGATAAAATATCCTTGCCATTACCGGTCCTTGGAACAAAATAAGGAAATGCACACCTATAACATTCTACAGCAATCTATGCATTTACTTTGTGTCTATTCAACACATAGAGGTTAGATCACGGGGACCCAGGGTCTAATCCTTGAAATGGTTAATTAAACCACAAGGCGCACAGCGCCAAGTGGATTAATCAACCATTTCAACGATTAGACACTGGGGTCCGAGTGGTCTAACATACTTAAACCATGTCCAACATTTATAGCACCTAAAATGCTTAAAAAACATTGTTTTGTAAAAGGTATTTTGTAAGATATTCAGGAACTCTATGCTCAACTGTGATGAGAACACTATGTGAGTAGGCACATGAAATCTGTCCCCTGAGCCTTTCACACATGCATCTCAAGCTTTGCTGATTTGAGTCATGAAATGCATATCCCCGGGCAAGTATACCATTCATTTTGGACCAACTCGAGCACTTTTATCAGTAACCTAAATATTACCTCTCCATGCTGATGGGCCTATTATGAGCAAACACAGCCCTGATCAAGATCAAAATAGTAATTTCTTTTCTATCTGTTCCTTTCCTTGAACGAAAAGCTGCCAAATCATAAGTATTGTACAAATACTAGAATGCATATACTAGATGCAAATACTAGAGTAACATACTGTATAAAAATTGCATAAAACATATTTCACAGTGCAGACTCCCTGGGTTCCAATCCCGTTGGCAACAAACATTTTTCATGAAATTGTTCTATCATCAAGATAACTGATAGGGGAAAAAAAAAAAAGTTCTGTCATTGCCAAGTGGTGTTTAACTAACAATTAAGTTAGACCACGGACAAAGACAAAGGAGCATGGTTAAAATCTTTATAATCACCTTTCAGTGATTGACCAGTTGATCAATGATGACTAACAACTAATCGCTGAAGGTACATCGACAACTGCAGAAATCTCCCCAGTCACGTTGATCATGTCGGCCATTTTGACATCCTGTACTTGAAGTATGTTTTACAATGCACTTTTACTGAGAATGACTAACTGAGTTAGTTATGTCAGACGTTACTCGTCTAATGATGATATTATTTAAATCTATTTGTTGTAACCAAACTATGAAAGATGGGATATTACTTCATGTCATCTCGTTTTGAAAAGTATTTTATCTGCGATACAGTTGGTTGTTGTGTGTTTGGTAGTGTAAACATGAAGTCACTCGTACAAAATGATATTACGTCTACATCCTTTGAAGTATAAAATAGGGATATAAGAAGAATTGACTTTCATTTTACAGTTTGAAAAAGTGAAAATCAATTCCTAATATGTGTACTTTGTATGATTACCTGAAATGAAAATAATCCCAAACCATTTTCCTTCTATTTCTGTCATTACTTTAGCAGCATTATAACTTTATGAAACTTACAGGAACATTGATGCGTTGAAGACCTTCCTCCTCCATCTGATGGTAGATGTAATCAGTGATAATCTGAAATGGGGAATAGTGTGAGTGAGTGAGTGAGTGAGTTGGTGCTCGCTGCTTAAAGTAAAGTCACACCATTATCAAAACATCACAATCCATATCAGACCAAGTGAGTCTGGCACATCAGCGGTAAAAACTAAGTTTTAGTCCACTAGTCCTTGTTTCGAAGTTCCTGAAGTGTCTGTGGAGCACTTGGTTGACGTCGAAGGCGCCAATCCATCTCATCCCACATGTGCTTGATTGGTGACAGATCAGGGGAGCGAGCCGGCCAGGGGATGACATTTACGTTGTTTTGTTGAAGAGAATCCAGAACAAGTCGAGCAATATGAGCCCGGTTGTTGTCATGTTGAAAGGTAATGCCTGGGCCATGACGACGCAAAAACGGTAGAACAACAGGGCCGATGATCTCGTCGTGGTAGCGCTGTCCATTGAGATTTCCCTCTACCACTATCAAACGGAAACCCTCTGTCTTGCTGTAATTCCACCCCATACCAAAACGCTGCCGCCACCAAACCGATCTTCTTCCATGACACATTGATTGACGTAACGTTCACCTCGACGTCGGTACACTCGAATCCGTCCATCGCTGTGGCTGAGGTGAAAACGAGACTCGTCAGTGAATAGAACTTGTCCCCACTGCATGGCCGTCCAGAGTAGACGCTGTCTGCACCACTGTAGACGTGCTTGACGGTGGTTTCCTGTCAAAATGGGGCGTCTGGCGGGTCTTCTGGCAACAATCCCTGCACATCTGAGGCGATGACGTACGGTTGGTGAAGGTATTCGTCGAAGGCCAGGGATGCTTCTTGCAGTCACTGTTGCTGGCTGGAATTGATTTCGTAGGTGTGTTGTTCGAATCCAGTTGTCTTATCGATTATTGGTTACACGTGGCTTGCCACTCCGAGGATGGTCTCTGACTGCATTCGTCTGTTGCCAATGTTGCCATAAACACCAAATGGTGTTTCCGTGGACGCTTAATTGTCTTGCAACATCACGTTGACTTGATCCTGCTTCAAGCATACCAATGGCTCACAGACGCTCATTTTTGGACAGGCGTGGCATTTCGTAATGTTGAATAATTGCATAATTTTTTTTGTTTTTTGAGTGGTTGTTGTCAGCACGATGCTAAACAATGCATCTGGAATCCCGTTAACACACATGTTTTTATACCCATTCTTGGATAGTGAAATGCATGGGGCATGCATAAAAGTAAACTTTTGCATGGAATGCATGCTTTTCTGTAGCAGTTGCGTTTTTGCGACTTGATTCCATACATGTACTACAATACTGAAAACCAAACTTTACTTGTTTGAAAAATACACTAAGATACTGGTGTCACAGGAACTTTTGTTGTTGAGTATATATTAGGGACACTATTATCACAACATCACCACATTACAATCTGTATAAGGGACACCATTATCACCACTTCGCAATCTGTATTAGACACACTATTATCACAACATCACTACATCACTACATCACAATCTGTATAAGGGACACCATTATCACAAAATCACAATCTGTATTTGGGACACCATTATCACAACATAGCAATCTGTATTAGACACACTATTATCACAACATCACAATCTGTATAAGGGACACCATTATCACAACATAGCAATCTGTATTAGACACACTATTATCACAACATCACAATCTGTATAAGGGACACCATTATCACAACATAGCAATCTGTATTAGACACACTATTATCACAACATCACAATCTGTATAAGGGACACCTTTATCACAACATAGCAATCTGTATTAGACACACTATTATCACAACATCACAATCTGTATAAGGGACACCTTTATCACAACATAGCAATCTGTATTAGACACACTATTATCACAACATCACAATCTGTATAAGGGACACCATTATCACCACTTCGCAATCTGTATTAGACACACTATTATCACAACATCACTACATCACAATCTGTATAAGGGACACCATTATCACCACATCGCAATCTGTATTAGACACTCCATTATCACTACATCACTACATCACAATCTGTATAAGGGACACAATTATCACCACATCGCAATCTGTATTAGACACACTATTATCACAACATCACTACATCACAATCTGTATAAGGGACACCATTATCACCACATCGCAATCTGTATTAGACACTCCATTATCACTACATCACTACATCACAATCTGTATAAGGGACACAATTATCACCACATCGCAATCTGTATTAGACACACCATTATCACAACATCACTACATCACTACATCACAATCTGTATTAGGGACACCATTATCACAACATAGCAATCTGTATTAGACACACTATTATCACAACATCACAATCTGTATAAGGGACACCTTTATCACAACATAGCAATCTGTATTAGACACACTATTATCACAACATCACAATATGTATAAGGGACACCTTTATCACAACATAGAAATCTGTATTAGACACACTATTATCACAACATCACAATCTGTATAAGGGACACCATTATCACCACTTCGCAATCTGTATTAGACACACTATTATCAAAACATCACTACATCACAATCTGTATAAGGGACACCTTTATCACAACATAGCAATCTGTATTAGACACACTATTATCACAACATCACAATCTCCCAGCTGAAATGCACACCATGGGATACCATGCTAAACCATGGTCACTTTTATTTCTTACCATGGTATACCACGGTCACTGGAGACCATGGTCAACAGAAACCATGGCAGACCATGGTCATTGAAGATTTTACCATGGTAGACCATGGGCATCTTTAACAAAACTATGGTAGACCATGGTCATCTTAGATAAATCCATGGTAGACCATGGGCATCTTTAACAAAACTATGCTAGACCATGGTCATTGAAGATTTTACCATGGAAGACCATGGTCATCTTAAACAAAATTATGGTAGACCATGGTTATCTTAGAGGTGAAGTGAAACTGGGTTTAACGTCACGTCCAAGATTATTGCAATTATATAGCGAGGTGCATGCACATGTGTGTGTACGGCTGCTTGTACTTGTCCGGACTGATGCTGATTTATAGTGCTAGCCCACTGAGATACCATGCCGCAGTTTACATGAATACCCCACTCAGACACAGTATACTGACTCCGAGCCGACCAGTCCTTGTTTTAGCCCCTTAATGCCGAGTGCCAGACAGGGTTACAACAAGTACCATCTTTTAACGTCTTTTGGTATGACGCGGCCAAGGATCGAACCCCGGACCTTCCGCTCTCCGGGCGGACGCTATACCTCTAGACCACGGAGGCAGTCTCATCTTAGATAAATCCATGGTAGACCATGGTCATCTTTAACAAAACTATAGTAGACCATGGTCATTGAAGATTTTACCATGGTAGACCATGGTCATCTAAAACAAAACTATGGTAGACCATGGTCATCTAAGACAATTCCATGGTAGACCATAGTCATCTAAGACATTGCCATGGTAGACCATGGTCATCACAAACAAAACCATGGTAGACCATGGTCATCTTAGATAAATCCATGGTAGACTATCGTCATCTTAGATAAATCCATGGTAGATCAAGGTCATCTTAGATATATCCATGGTAGACCATGGTCATCTTAGATAAATCCATGGTAGATCATGGTCATCTTGGATAAATCCATGGTAGATCATGGTCATCTAAGACAAATCCATGGTAGACCATGGTCATCTTAGATAAATCCATGGTAGACCATGGTCATCTTAGATAAATCCATGGTAGACCATGGGCATCTTTAACAAAACTATGGTAGACCATGGTCATTGAAGATTTTACCATGGTAGACCATGGGCATCTTTAACAAAACTATGGTAGACCATGGTCATCTTAGATAAATACATGGTAGACCATGGGCATCTTTAACAAAACTATGCTAGACCATGGTCATTGAAGTTTTTACCATGGAAGACCATGGTCATCTTAAACAAAATTATGGTAGACCATGGTTATCTTAGAGGTAAAGTGAAACTGGATTTAACGTCACGTCCAAGATTATTGCAATTATATAGCGAGGTGCATGCACGTGTGTGTGTGCGGCTGCTTGTACTAGTCCGGACTGATGCTGATTTATAGTGCTAGCCCACCGAGATACCATGCCGCAGTTTAACATGAATACCCCACTCAGACACAGTATACTGACTCCGAGCCGACCAGTCCTTGTTTTAGCCCCTTAATACCGAGTGCCAGACAGGGTTACAACAAGTACCATCTTTTAACGTCTTTTGGTATGACGCGGCCAAGGATCGAACCCCGGACCTTCCGCTCTCCGGGCGGACGCTATACCTCTAGACCACGGAGGCGGTCTCATCTTAGATAAATCCATGGTAGACCATGGTCATCTTTAACAAAACTATAGTAGACCATGGTCATTGAAGATTTTACCATGGTAGACCATGGTCATCTAAAACAAAACTATGGTAGACCATGGTCATCTTTGACAAAACTATGGTAGATCATGGTCATCTTAGATAAATCCATGGTAGACCATGGTCATCTTTAACAAAACTATAGTAGACCATGGTCATTGAAGATTTTACCATGGTAGACCATGGTCATCTTAAACAAAACTATGGTAGACCATGGTCATCTTAGATAAATCCATGGTAGATCAAGGTCATCTTAGATATATCCATGGTAGACCATGGTCATCTTAGATAAATCCATGGTAGATCATGGTCATCTTAGATAAATCCATGGTAGATCATGGTCATCTTAGATAAATCCATGGTAGACCATGGTAATCTAAGACATTGCCATGGTAGACCATGGTCATCACAAACAAAACCATGGTAGACCATAGTCATCTTAGATAAATCCATGGTAGACCATGGTAATCTAAGACATTGCCATGGTAGACCATGGTCATCACAAACAAAACCATGGTAGACCATAGTCATCTTAGATAAATCCATGGTAGACCATGGTTATCTAAGACATTGCCATGGTAGACCATGGTCATCACAAACAAAAATCATGGTAGAC